CGAGCAGGGCCGGGTTTCCTTCCTGGACGCGGTGTCCTTCCGGGGGCTCCTGGAGTGCCCCCTGGACTGCTCGGGGCCCGTGTGCCCCGCCTTCTGCTTCATTGGGGGGGGTGCTGTGCAGCTGCAGGAGCCCGTGGGCACCAAGCCCGAGAGGAAGGTCACCATTGGGGGCTTCGCCAAGCTGGACTGACGGCCGACGGCCTCCCGAGGCCCCGGCCCTCTAAGCTTCCTGGAGCCGGCGATCCCTCCGGCAGCTTTTCCCTCACTCTTCCTACCAGGTGGTCCCTTCCTTCACCCCGTGTCTGTGTCTCCCCAGGGCCTTCTCTTGACCAAGGGACACTCCTCCGCTCACCTCTCTGGCTGACCGCCATTGCTCCACTGCCTGTTCATCCAGACCCCACCCCACCAAGTTCCTGCTCCATCCTCTGCCCGTGGCATCCAACCACGTCATGGGAGAGCCCTGCCCCCACCCCTGCCTTTCTCCCCAGCACTCAGGCCAATTGGCAGGGAGGCTCCCGGAACACCGGGCACGATCCCCGCTCTGCCCTCTGCCCTGCCGAGCTGCCTGCCCACCGATGCTGACCGAAGGCCTTAGCGTGGGCAGGCTCTTTGCCGACACTGCCTAGGCATTCCCGGGGAGGGGCAGAGGACCCTCTCCTGTGTTTGTGTGGGTCCCCGTGCTCTGCAGCCGCATGCCTCACCTCGTACGCCCCTCTCCCTCTTGCATGCTTCCCTGTCCCGCACCCGCACCCACGCGATGTGCCGCGGCTCCCTTTGGGGCCACACGCAGGTTGGATGTCCCCATTGGGTTGGGCCAGGCAAGACCTGGGGCCCACTGCTGCCCCCCTGTGGTAGGGACTGCGAGGCCTGTGCCAAGCAACAGCTGTCATTTTCATGGTTTATACACAATAAACTGTGATGCCGGGCACATCTCCGCCTTCCCTGAGCCCGACCAGTCCTCTCAGTTTCTGTGCTGGGTGTGGCTGCCGGAGGGATCCGGTGCTCAGCTGGTGCTCAGCAGGGCTGCCTGATGGGTATGGCCCTAAGGGGAGGAGGTCCCCCAGCCAGGGGCTCCCAAGCCTCCTGCCCACACAGGTGCCCGGCCCAGGCCTGAGCCCACCGTGGCCGCCAGGGGGCGCATGGCTCTGGTGACCTCCTGTGTCCCCTGATGAGGCTGGGACACCCGCTCCCAGACCCCGAGGGAATGTGGTTGAGCTCAAAGGGGCAGGGAACCGGAACCACTTCCCCATTCCCAGGGTGCGGGGAGCAGACCCCAGAGCCAGT